GGGAGGAAGGGAGGGAGTAAATAAACTATCAGAAAACACTAATCGAAATTTTGTATTATTAATGCTAAAGTAACAATAAAAATTTATGGCCTTTCTCCATATTTTATTTAATAAAGCTTGCCTGAGGATTCAGGATGCAAAGCCAGCCACACTAGTTAGCCATAGAAGCTAGGCTGTGGTGGTAAACACCTTTAATCCCAGCACTTGGGAGGCAGAGGCAGGCAGATCTCTGTGAGACTGGTCTACAAGATCTAGTTCCAGGACAGCCCCCAAAGTCACAGAGAAAACCTGTCTCGAAAAACAAAAACAAACAAACAAACAAATCCCTTTTAAAGATGACAAGCCCTATGGATGTGATGCTGAAAGATTTTAGTTCACAGAGAGAAAGTTTCCCACAGGCCTTGGCCCATGGCAAGGAAGCTGGCCCCAACCCGAGACCAGACAAACAACCCTTGCTGGGTCACACCTGGCCAACAGACAATCAGGGACTCTCCAAGGTACATTCTGTGGTTTTTCCTTTGTAGAAAACCAGGTTACACTTGGGTGACCTCGTTAACATGAGATCATACTTTGTAATCAATCACTTTGTACCCCATGCATGTATGCTGATTTGCGGTTTTTCCCTATAAAAGGAGCCTATAACCCTTGCTGGGGTGTGCAGCTTTCCTGATATTGCTGACACCTGAATGCACGTTTGTTCAATAAACTCTCTTGTTTTTGCAGCTCTTGGTCTGGTTTCTGAGTCTCGGGGACTTCTCAGGATCCTGAGGCCCTGCCCTTAGGGGTCTGGGGTCTTTCAATGCCATCATGACTTCACTGCAGTGGGTATTTGTTTTGCACACTAATGGCTGAGCTGAACCTGGGAATGAGGCCTGCCATCTCAGTTTATGGTGCTTGACCTCTCAGCCTGAGGAAAATTCCAGAGCCCCAGCCTCTGTCTTCATGTTTACATTTGAGTATTTAAATGTAAATCTGATCACATCTCTAAACTTTAATAATGATAACATAACTTTTCCAGTGTTTGAGATACTTGTTTTTGGGCGAGCATTCTATTTTTAGTTTGTGAACTTTGGTCACCTCCAATGCAGTCACAGTATTGTTTTCTCTTTTTCTGCATTGCTAGATTTCTAGACATTCCTCTCAGAACTCCCCAGTCTTTTTGTTTTTAATTTTTGAAACTGGGTCACATTTATGCACAGATGTCACATAAAAGAATGGATAAACAAACAAGGCAGACAGGTAATTTTTATGATATGCAGACTTCCTTCTAAGAAGTGGTTTTTTTTTTTTTTTGATGCAAACAGCATGAGGCTTTATTGTAGTTGTTTAACGAGCTAACCCCATGTTAGCTCAGGCCTTTCATCCATCCACCATGGCGGATGGCTGGGAAAGACCTAAGAAGTTGTTTTAAACTTAATCCAGAGATGTATCTCTTTCAACTACATTATAAAATAATAAGACAAAAATGAGCATCTTCTAACTACAGTAATGAAGTTACTTATATACAATGTAAGACCCCAGAGGCTCAGGTCCCCAGGATCTCAGCCCAGTACCACAGTCACCCCAATCTCCAGGCGGAGTCAAAAGCTTGATGCAAACTGCAGGAAGCTTTATTATAGTTGTTTAACGAGCTAACCCCATGTCAGCTTGGGTCTTTTATCCACCCATCATGGCCGATGACTAGGAAAGGCAGTTCGAACCAGCTGCAAAGAGATCTTGTAGGGCAACGTAAGGGGAGTGTCTAGGGGTAAGCACAGGCTCAGGATTGGTGTGGCTACAGGCTTGGAGGGTTTGCCCTGTGTTGATTGGTCAACTGGTTGTTATGGCCCATAGGCCCTCCTAGGGTGGTTGCTATGCTCTGTGTGTCATTGCTGTGCACTTGTCCATAAAGCACACCCAGAGCCGTAAAGCATAGCACCACCGGTTAACTTCTGATTGGTTCCTTGCCACGAGGCAGACATCTGACCTCCTAGTGACCAAGAAAAGGTCAGGCAAGCGCTGTTATGGCTGCCGAAATGGGGAGCTGGTCCCTTCACCCAGAGCACAACTGATGAGCTCATGTCAGAGCATTCTGGGCACTAGGCATGCACATATCGAATATACATACATTCAGGCAAACCCTCATAGATAAAAAGTAAGTCATTTCTACTGTGAGTTGATTTCTTTTCTTTCTTTTTTTTTTCTTGTAGACCAGGCTGGCCTCAAACTCACAGAGATCTACCTGCCTCTGCCTCCCAACTGCTTGGATTAAAGGCATGTTCCACCACCACCCAGCTCTGATTTCAAATTTTCTTATGGTTTTATGAATGAGCTAAAATATCATTTGAATCTGCATGAGTATTGAGAGTTTCCAGCACATATAAACAAAGAAACATAAATAAATTGTATAATACATGGTAATTTATAGTGAATACACATGTACATATATATATCAACACATAACTAATCTGTTGCCATGCTAGTACATAACCATCAAAATTGAGCTGCATCCTAGGTCTTTCTTTCATGCCATTTCTCCTCCCCAACTTTTTTTTTTTTTTGAGACTCTGGGGACTGATTTTGGGGGCCAAGGAGGATGTGGTGCCAACTAGACCCCAGTGTACCTCAGGCACACAACTTTGATGTTGTTAGGTCTAACTGGGGCGGCATGGTGGAGGTGTCTGGTGTTGAATAAACGTGGATTTGGAAGTACTAAGCAAACTGCCTCTGAGAGGAAAGCATTATGCATACAAACTGTGGCAGTTTGAGTAGGAGTGAGTCCCATTTGAATGCTTAATCACCAGGGAGTGGCACTATTAGGAGGTGTGGCCTTGTGGAGGAAGTGTGTCACTAGAGGTGGGCTTTGGGGTTTCAAATACTCAAGTCAGGCCCAGTGTCTCTTTTTCCTTGCTTCCTGCTGATGTGCAGGTAGGAAATCTCAGCTCCTTCTCTTTTTACCTGCATGCCACCAGGCTTCCTGCCATGATAATAGACTAAACCTCTGAACATGTAAGCCGGCCCCAATTAAATGTATTCCTTATGTTAGACCCCCGGAAAACTCAGGTATCCCGGGTCCCAGGCCACGACCTCGATCACCCCAATCACCAGGCAGAATCGAGATCTTGATGCAAACTGCATGAGGCTTTATTGTAATTTAACGAGCTAACCTCATGTTAGCTTGGGTCTTTTGTCCACCCACCATGGCAGATGGCTTGAAAAAGACAGTTTGAACCTGCTGCACAGAGATCTTGTAGGGCAGCGTAAGGGGAGTGTCTAGTGGTATGCACAGGCTCAGGATTGGTGTGCCTCCAGGCTTGGGAGGGGTTGCCCTGTGTTGATTGGTCAACTGGTTGTTATGGCCCATAGGCCCTCCCAGGGTGGTTGCTATGCTCTGTGCATCATTGCTGTGCACTTGTCGATAAAGCACACCCAGGGTCGTAAAGCTAGTGCCACCAGCTAACTTCTGATTGGTTTCTTGTCATGAGGCAGGCACCTAACCTCTAGTGACTAAGACAAGGTCATAGCGAGCACCTGTTACTGTTATGGCTGCCGAAATGGGGAGCTGGTCCCTTCACTTATAAGAGTTGCCATCGCCATGATCTCTTCACAGCAATAAAAAGATGTATTTGCTCGTGCGCCCCCCCCCCACTCACACCTTTAAAAAATTACTCAAAATGGACTAAAGAACTACAAGAGAGCTAGAAACTCTGGGAGGGAAAAAAAAAAACCCATTAAAGTTTGCAATGATTTCCTGGACACCAGAAACACAGGCAACAACAACAAAGAGCTCCACAAACTCCACAAAAATTATAAACTTTGTCCACACCCAAGCTTGGCAACTCAGCTGCTTGTGATGCTCAGGCGTAAAGGTTACAAGTTACACCACAGGCTCGATACTAAGCTGGGTAACTTAAGACCTTGTCACAAAATGTAAAAACCGCATTAGGATGGGAATGGGGCTCAGTGGTGGAGCACTTGTCCAGCATGTGCCAGCATAGAGCTGGTGGGTGATTTCCAGCCCCGCCGCTTCCCGAACTCCTGGCAGTGAGAAGTTGCCAAGTCAGGAGCAATCACCGAGTCCTAAGCACGACCGTCCTCTAGCCTTCACGGATAGACTTAGTTATTTTAAAAAATAACCATATCAGGATGGCTTTTGACTACCGTGCTCGCCACTGCTTAGCCGCCTATTAACTGAGGCTCGATGATGCTCGCCACACACTGGCCAACGCCTCCCTGGCTGACTCGCCCGTGCTAGAGACAGACCACACCCCTTCCGCGAGGCCGAGCCTCCGGCGCTCAGGGCTTCCGAGTGCGCATGAGCAATTCAAAGCGGCGCGGGAAGACTCGCGCAGGCGCGTTCGGTGCATCGGCGCGACGGACGGGCGGGCGGGCAGGCGCTGTCTCTCTCCCCCCTGCCGGCGGCTGCGACCGTGGGAGCCCCCCTGACTTTCGTCAAACGTGAGTTTCTGGCCGTTTGCTCCTCCACAGCTCTGGACTGTGAGGGTCAGGAGCGAGCTCTCGATCGTCGCCCTGCGAGCATCCTGCCTTTGAGCTTTAACGTGGGCTCCCGCGGCGGGAAGGGGTGCGCCTGCGCACTGGGCTTCCCGTTGGTGCGGGGCGCTCGCCCTCCGCCCTCGGGGCCCATTCATTCATTCATTCATTCCCCTGAGCTCAGGCCCGGCCCGCTAGGTTGGCTCCCAGCCGCCCTTCGTCGGTCTATTTGAGCGGGGCCGTGGGCCAGCCTCCTGGCGAGCGATATCCTC